TGTCCTTATCTCGACCCACAAGCCTTTCGCTTTATTTTCTCTTGCCTGTCCAGTTGAGGAGGGGAGTGATAGAGCGGCTTTGGTGGGCACCTGGCATCCAGCCAGGGTCAACTCAGCACATGATGTAATTTAGACTACACCATCTAACTGTGCTATATGTATCAGTCTGAAGGATGCAAAACCCAAACATATTACAGACTCTGTATGGCAATAGTTCTATACATAAAGGGGCTATGTAAACTGCCAGTGGACACTATGCAGAGGTTCAATTCTAACTGATAACCCCCAAGTCAAGATGCTGTAACAAGATCTCAACAAAAGATTATTTATATACTGAAAAAACACCGAGGCAGACTAGCTTTCAACATTTAAGAAAACACGACAAAGAACAGAAATGCTTCACAGTCTACATCCAGTAAAACTTTTAGTCCAACTATGACTGATACATGAGCTATCCAAGCTTTTCTGAACAGGTCTAACATAAACCCAAATTAACTGATTTACTGCCCCTCACCAAGAATTTTAACACAGTTGAAAATGCAGTGGCTATCAAATTTCTTGTCCATAAACTTCATTGCTGCTGTAGGTAAAATTCCCCCTGAAATGAAGTTCGTAAGTTTTCAAAGTTACCCCAAGCCACTGCAAGTTTCAATCACCGTTAACTTGATATGTTACATACAAATGCTTGTTTTTCAGGAGCATAATTCATGTTGAAGAGCTAATAGGTAGCAGCAGCAAATAGCTAAGTGCTTGCCCTTGCAGTATGATACCATGTTTGCAGGTCAGCGTAACAGGCTGCTCAGGACAAAAATCCCACACTACTGAGCGATCATGCAAAAGCTTTGCAAAGGCTTTCATTCCCACCCATTGTCAGAATACCTGCCATACCGGTCCAACCGTACCATTGCTCAACAATCCCTTAGGGCCTGGCTGACCTGTTTTAAGATGCTTTGAGGGGTTATTCTTACTCAGAGAGTAAAAACAAGAAGACACATTTATGATTACTTCCTGTCCTGGTTTGGCTAAAACAGGACTATTTCTCCTTTCAGGAGTTTTTCTTTCCATCAAATCCCTTCTAAGTAACTGCACTTTCTGACAGTACAGCTACATGTTTTTCAGACACTGTCTGCATTTCGGGCCTGATAATGCTCGATGTTCATAGCTGCTACCAAAGTATCAGTAGGATTGGTATGCAGAATGGCCCATGTTTACACTTATCCCTGTGAGAACCAAGGCCACTGCTGTCCTTTTGTTAAGCGAGTGAAAAGTCGTAAAAGCGTCGCACCTGCGGAAGAGTGCAGACGGGACAGGTGACCAAAAACTGACCAGCGAGGTATTCCATCCCATCCACGTCATCCTCAGTATAAAGCTAAGGGATCACGAGGGTCTCGCTCTCTTCTTTCATGGCCAGCATCCCCGTGGGACCCTGCTCGCTCTCCTGCCTCTGATGCCGATCCGTGCATTCCTGAATCCGGTTCCTGTCCGCTGGCA